GCTCCCCGGGGGCGTCCCCGAGGGCGCCTTTGACTCCTTCACGGTGCAGTACAAGGATGACCAAGGCCAGCCGCAGGTGCTGCCCGTGGACGGGGGTTCCCGCACGGTGACCGTGCCTGGGCTGTCCCCGTCGCGCCGCTACAAGTTCAACCTGTACGGGGTGTGGGGTCGGAAACGCCTGGGCCCCGTCTCCACCGACGCCGTCACAGGTGAGGGGGCTGTGGGCTCCGTCTGTGCCCCCTTGGTGCCCTGGGCTTGGAATGTGGCCAGGGCTTGTCCAGCAGGGACATCTCTTGGTTTTCAACTGTTGGATGGACGTAGGGACAGGAGCAGGCAAGAGGGAGGGAAGAAGGGAAGGCGAGATGGATGGATGGATGGATGGATGGATGGATGGATGGATGGATGGTTCGATGATTGTGTGTGGTTCATGAACTGGATGTGTGCTTGGATGATTGTGTGGACACAGGCCCGGGTGGACGGATGCTGGGATTGTTGGTTGGATGGATGTGTGGTTGGATGAATGAAGAAGCATCTGGTTGTTTGGATAGTGGAATGGAAGTGTGGCTTCATGGCCTGATGGACGGAGAAGGGTGCATGGAGAGACTGTAGGTTTGATGGATGGCAGGATACAAAGAGTTGGACGTATGGGTGTGGAACAATTCTGGTGAAGGGTCTGGAGAACACGTGGAGCAGCTGAGGGAACTGGGGTGGTTTAGCCTGGAGAAGAGGAGGCTGAGGGGAGACCTTATCACTCTCCACAGTTACCTGAAAGGAGGTCGTAGCGAGGTTGAGGTCTGTCACTTTTCCCAAGGAACAAGCGATAGGACAAGAGGAAACGACCTCACGTTGTGCCAGAGGAGGTTTAGATTGGATATAGGGAAAACTGTCTTCATGGCAAGGGTTGTCCAGCACTGGCAGAGGCTGCCCAGGGCAGGGGTTGAGTCCCCATCCCTGGAGGGACTTAAAATTCGTGCGGAGGTGGTGCTAAGGGACATGGTTATTGGTGGGCTTGGTAGTGTTGGGTTTTGGTTGCTCTTGATGCTCTTAAGCGTCTTTTCCAGCCTCAATGATTGTAAGATGCTATGGATGGACGGACGGACGGACGGACATATGAGATGTTCATGCCCTGCATTGTGTCCTCTCTGTAGCAGCTGCAGCCGAGCCAGAGGAGGAACCCCCATCGCAGCCAATCCTGGGCGAGCTGACGGCCTCCCAGGTCACCTCCAACTCCGTCCAGCTGCAGTGGAGCGTCCCCAAGGGCACCTTTGACTCCTTCATGGTGCAGTACAGGGATGCCCAAGGCCAGCCCGAGTCCCTGCTCGTGGACGGTGGCTCACACACGGTGACCATCCCTGGGCTGTCCCCATCTCGCCGCTACAACTTCTACCTTTATGGGGTGCTGGGGCATGAACGTCTGGGCCCCATCTCCCTTGACACCATCACGGGTGAGGGCGGGTGCTGGATCTGTCCATGGCACCTATGGGTGCAGGATTTGGTGTGTCAGAGGAGCTGGGGCTGGGTTTGTCCTGGTGCCTTGGGGCCTGGCGGGACATGGGGACTTCTTTTGGGCGCTGAGTGGGGGGTGGATGGAGCAGGCAGGGTTGGAGGGATGGAGGGATAGGCGAATGGAAGAACGTTTGTTGGGTGGATGGGTGGATGGATGGGTGGATGGGTGGGTGGATGGATGGACGGATGGATGGATGGACGGATGGATGGTGGACGGACGGACGGATGGATGGTTGTGTGGGTAGATGGAGGCAGGGATGGTTTAATGGTTGGACAAATGGACACATGGATGGAAGGAGGGCGTGAGGGATAGATGGACAGAGGGATGTACGGACACAGAGTTAGATGGAGGGAGGGTGGGATGATGGGATGGATGGATGGATGGATGGATGGATGGATGGATGGATGGATGGAGGGATGGATGGATGGATGGACAGACAGGTGGACACAGGGTTGGATGGAGGGCTGCATGGGTGGAGGGATGGATGGGTGGAAGGTTGGGTGGATGGATGGAGGGAGGGATGTGCGCGTGCAAGGCTGAAGGGATTGGGGGATGCTGACGGATGGATGGTTTACTGGGTGGGTGAATGGACACATGTTTGGGTGGAGGGATGGAGGGAGGGAGGAACGGATGGACGGACGTAGAGTTAGATGGAGGGATGGAGGGAGGGTGGGATGATGGCATGGATGGGTGGGTGGATGGATGGATAAAGGTGCATGGAGGGTGGACGGGGGGTTGGAGGAATGCTTGGATGCTTGTCGAACAGATGGATGGGTGGTTGGGTGGACAGGTTGATGGTTATGCCCTGCGTTGTGTCCTCTCCGTTGCAGCCCCAGCCCCACCAAAGGAGGTCACCCCCGACTCCGTCCAGCTGCACTGGAGCGTCCCCGAGGGCGCCTTTGACTCCTTCACGGTGCAGTACAAGGATGACCAAGGCCAGCCGCAGGTGCTGCCCGTGGACGGGGGTTCCCGCACGGTGACCGTGCCTGGGCTGTCCCCGTCGCGCCGCTACAAGTTCAACCTGTACGGGGTGTGGGGTCAGAAACGCCTGGGCCCCGTCTCCACCGACGCCGTCACAGGTGAGGGGGCTGTGTCCCATTTGGGTGCTGGTTTTGCGGTGCAGCAGAAGCTTGGGCAGAGCCCATCCTGATCCCTTGGGTCTTGTGGGAACTGGAAACATCTCTTGGGTGCCAAGAAGTGTGTGGATGATGGGATGGGGTGATGTTGGAGGGTTGGGGGTGTGGGTGGGTGGGTGCATGGATGGATGGATGAATGGGTGGATGGAAGGATGGAAGGATGGATGGATGGATGGATGGATGGATGGATGGATGGATGGATGGATGGATGGATGGATGGATGGATATTTAGTGGGTTGCTTGAATGGGGGGGTGGACTGAGTGCTGGTTGGACAGATGTATGGTGAAGGGTTGGATGGATGGTTGGGTGGGTAGAGTGATGTAGTCATGGGCAGAGGAACATGTGGGTTGGTGGAAGGGCACATGGCTGGGTGGGCAACATCTGCAGGAGGTGCAGCGTGGATGGATGACGGATGGGTGGGTGACAAGATGGACATATGTTGACTGGATGGTTGGATGGATGGAGGGATGGAAGTTTGAATGGATGGACAGTTGGATGGATGGACAGTTGGATGGATGGACAGTTGGATGGATGGATACGCGGTTGGATGGGTGGACGATTGATTGTATAGATGGACAGTTTGATGGATGGACGATTGGTTGGATGGATGGACAGTTGGATGGATGAGTGGGTGGGTGGATGGTTGACTGGCTGACTGGACAGTTGGTTGGCTGGATGGATGGAAGGTTGGCTGGATGGATGGAAGGTTGGTTGGATGGATGGAAGGTTGGTTGGTTGGATGGATGTATGGTTGACTGAGCAGATGGTTGGAAGGATGTTGGATAGATGAATGGGTAGTTGATTGGATGGAGCGATGGTTGGATGGACGCCTGGTTGGACAGCTGGACAGTTGGATGATTGAATGGTTGGCCAGTTGGATGGACAGTTGGATGATGTCCCTGCTCACTGCAGGGGGGTTGGGCTAGGTGACCTCTAAAGGTCGCTTCCAACCCAAAGCATTCTGATTCTATGGTTGCATGGTTGAACAGTTAATGGGTGGACAGCTGGATGGGTGGATGGATGGGTGGATGGTTGATGGATGGACAGCTGGATGATTGGTTGGACAGTTCGATGGACGGGTGGGTGATTGGCTGGAGAGATGGTTGGATGGGTGGTTAGATGGATGGACGGTTGGCTGGTTGGCAGTTGGGAGGTTCGAAGTTGGACAGTTGGATGGTTGATGCTTGGCTGGTTGGACGGTTGGCAGTTAGCTGGTTGGACAGTTGGTGGTTGGCTGGTTGGACGGTTGGTGGTTGGCTGGTTGGATGGTTGGCAGTTGAGGGAGGTTCGAAGTTGGACAGTTGGATGGTTGATGCTTGGCTGGTTGGACGGTTGGCAGTTAGCTGGTTGGACAGTTGGTGGTTGGCTGGTTGGACGGTTGGTGGTTGGCTGGTTGGATGGTTGGCAGTTGACTGATTGGACAGTTGGTGGTTTGATGGTTGGCTGGTTGGATGGTTGGACGGTTGGCGGTTGGTGGTTGGACAGTTGGCGGTTGGTGGGTTGCATGATTGGTGGTTGGCTGGTTGGACGGTTGATGGCTGGACGGTTGGATGGTTGGGCGGTTGGCGGTTGGTGGTTGGACGGTTGGCGGTTGGGAGGTTGGTTGGATGGTTGGCAGTTGGCTGATTGGACAGTTGGTGGTTGGCTGGTTGGCTGGTTGGCTGGTTGGGCGGTTGGCGGTTGGCTGGTTGGATGATTGGTGGTTGGCTGGTTGGATGGTTGGGCGGTTGGCGGTTGGTGGTTGGACGGTTGGCGGTTGGGAGGTTGGTTGGATGGTTGGCAGTTGGCTGATTGGACAGTTGGTGGTTGGCTGGTTGGCTGGTTGGCTGGTTGGGCGGTTGGCGGTTGGCTGGTTGGATGATTGGTGGTTGGCTGGTTGGATGGTTGGGCGGTTGGCGGTTGGTGGTTGGACGGTTGGCGGTTGGGAGGTTGGTTGGATGGTTGGCAGTTGGCTGATTGGACAGTTGGTGGTTGGCTGGTTGGCTGGTTGGCTGGTTGGATGGTTGGCTGGTTGGATGGTTGGCCGGTTGGATGGTTGGGCGGTTGGCGGTTGGTGGTTGGACGGTTGGCGGTTGGG